CGTGCCTGCTCTGCATGGAGAACCCGAGGGCTCTGGGAACTGCTGGAGAAGCAGCTGGGTGCCTCCAATAAACAGACGGAGACTTTGTTCCTCCTGCTGGAAGTGACAAGCCACCRGGAGGGCAGGGTGCTCAGTAAGCACGGAGATGATCTGGGTTTGCCATGTGATTTGTACTGCAGCAGAGCTGCTGGCACAGCTGCTGCGATAACCAGGAGAAAATTCTCTCCAGTGTTTCAGGGGTAGCTTTTCCCTCCACAGCCTTTCAGTGTGAATTGTCAAGACACCCATGTGGCTCGGCATGCCTTAATCCCAGCCTTACTAAGGCAAAGCAATTAAGCACGGATTTAACTCTGAACACATTGTGAAAGCCCAGTGGCTTAGAGCRAGTTCAGACTTAAGCAGGTGCTTAAATTCAGATTGCTGACTTGAGGCTGAACCTGCCAAATTAAACCACAGACCTCTCCTAGAGCTGCTCCAGGGGATTAAGAAAGCACAGAACCTGCTCCTGACAGGCCCTGTGCTCATGGCAAGGACAGGTTCAGCGTTCCCCCAAGCACTGCTAAGGTCACACGCTGCTGCAAGGGCTCCCCAGCTCCCTGGCAGACACCACCACCACCTGAGGTGGTCACCCAGTGTCCCACTRTGAGCCCAGTGTCACTGTCCTGCTGCTGCACACACATGTGACAGCACCTTCTGCTTCCAGCAGCTTCCACAGCTCCAGGTTTCAGGTCAGGCCTGAAGGAGAGGAACAGGGGAGATGGAATCAGCATGGGATGATGTCCAAAGGAACGGGTTTGAGAGTCTAGCAAGTATCTCATGGAGATGGGTGTTCATAACCTGCTGGCATGGGAATCAAACCCTCCAGCCACGAGTGAGTATTAGAAGAAGCTCTCCAAGCACAGTGAAAATGAGAAGGTGATGGCCCATGTGAGGAATCACAGCTGAAAGCATCCTGCAAGACATGAGACTTTGTGGATAGTGGAAAGGGCTCCTTCAGAATGACAATACACAGGCAGAAAACTTGACTTGGTGAAGGTGATGAAGATCGGAGAGAAAAACTTTGACTGGAGCAGTTTTGATTCAGCGGAAGGCACAGAAGAGGTGTTAGGACAGACTTGAAGGAGAGGAACTTTGTAGTGTGAAAGTAAAAAAAGGTTTCAATACCGAGATGAAAGGCAGATGGGGTGGCAGTTGGAAAGAAGGGGGGGGGAAAAAAGAAAGAAAAACACAAAAACAAAAACCAAAACCCACAAAAAAACAGACCCCATACATACTCTTGACCCTGGAGAGACTAAACGTGATTGTATTGCCAGCAGAAAAGTCAGAGAAGAATGAAAAGTTACAGCAAAGGTCAGGACAGGGAACAGCGTCTCCCACTGTTCGTGTAGATGAAAAAGTTGGATCAGACCAAATGAAATTGCACCCATGGAAATGTAAAGCCAAGGGGAGCTTAGATGGGAGCATCATCTGCAGTTCCAGGTCAAAGGAGGGAGCATCGGATCTACAACAGCACCATGCATTGGAAATTATGAATTCCAAAGAAATTGCCTGGAAGAAAGACACAGCCCCACTTCATTCCCACAAAATCCAGATACCTCACACAYAGTCTGTACATTTAAAATGCAAGAAGTGAGGGATCAAGCCAGGCATCCTAAGGTACCAGCTGACTGGGATCAGGAAGAGCCCTTTCCATCTCAGGGAAAAAAACATATCTTGTTCTGTGACTTAGCAGGCAGGATATAGGATTTTTGTAGCAGACATGGATGTAAATACCAGACCAAAATATATTTTTCTGCTTATTAGATGATTTACTGAGAAATAAAATAGGCATTTTCCTTCTCTAGCAACTTTTTAAAGGATAAATAAAATGATAAAAGTGCCTGGCTTAAAATTACCAAAAGAATCATCACAAGCACACCCCAAGTCTGAAGTAGGTTAATGCACACAAATGTAGACAATGAGGCACAAGTCAGTAGAAAATACTGCAGTTCTTTGTGATAACAGCTCCTGAACACCACAGTGCTTTAACATCAGATTTCATAGCTATTTGTGAGCAGCCCTCAGCCTTCACACACAGAAACCACRGCATGATCTCCTGTCAGACCATGGAATACAAACCAACCCACTGAAGGAGGGATGCAAATCACCAGCACAWTTCACAAAACCTTGGGCTTYCCTTGTCATCTTCCAGGAACCCCCRCMAAGAATGAGCAGAGCAGCAGCCACTCACTGCTGCCTTCAGCTTCCCTCAGTGAAATCTTTCCATCTTTAACTGGGCACTGCAGGCTGGGGACACAGAGGAGCCTCAAGAAGGTGGTGACCATCAGCAAGCTGTCACCACCCAAATAATGTCCCCATCTGGTGCCTGGCCAGCTCTCTGCTCAGAAGCTGAGAGCAGAAAAACATCCTGGGGACAACAGCTCATSCTCAGGCACCTTCCAGAGCCAGGCAGGAGCAAGGTGACCGCACAAGCAGATGACTGCACGTGCCACAGCCTTGGGCACATGACAGGAAAAGGACTTCTGTGCCACTGGGGATGGCATGGACAMAACCCACCTGGAATTCTGAGACACTGGAATTCTGAGCAGACTGTGGACCACCACTGTCCACCTGCACTCAAACCAAGTTTGGATAGCAGTGACAAAAATCGTGCCCTCACCTAAACAAACTGAGATACCAAATGCATTAATAATTAGGTGTGCAGACTACCCACTTTGCATGCTTACAGTGCTGCATCTGAGCGAACAATTAACCACGACAAGAACTGTCAGTCAACAGAACTTTGAAGCAGCAGCACTCAAAGGCAATATTTTGGCCCAGACATAGGAACAGAGTAAGAACTGAAAGCCAGGACATCCAAGAATTCCTCTCAGTGAGTGCCAAGAGGATCCATGTTCATGATGCCCAAAGGATGCCTGGTTTTACCTCAGGTAAGGCCAGAACATCTTTGTGGAAGCACTGAAGTACTTTATAAACCCAAACCACACAGCCACGAGGATAAAGCAGTCATCAGCCAACTGCAAGCACTCCAAAAATAACGATGATGGTTCCAAAACTTAGGAGACTGCTTTGAAAAGCATTTGCAGCTTAGAAAGGGTTCATGCCTTTCATTAACCCAAGAGCATTTAGGTATTGGGATACCTCTGGGTTACAAACTTGCAGTTTTCCTCTTTAAACATGACAATACAAATTTGGCTTACTTTCTTCAAACAGCAAAACCTGAGCTACTGACCACTTTTGTTCTGCCTCAGCACCCAGCCATAAAGGCACAAAAGGCCAGGAGATTTGCAATAAAATCCCAGGAGTCAGCACTTCTAAAAGCCTTGGCCTCTCCTGGCATGGTTTTTTGTTTTTTTTGTTTTTTTTTTTTCATTTTAAGCAGATGCAGTTTGTAGCATCTGCAGAAGCTGGTCCTGGACTGAGTTTTTGTCTGTCCAGGCAATGATCTCCTGGCATTCCCACTGCACCACACAGAGCACTGGGATTGGCAACACTGGATGCAGATCTATAGCTTCATAGAGAGTGGGAGTGTTGCTGCAGACTGAAAAAATTGCATTCTGCCACTGAAGCAAACTTGCAACAAACTATTAAACCAGAATTATCACCCTTCTCTGGTAAATCYCACTGTGGAGATACTCTGGAGCCACTGCAGAATTTGGGACACAGGTCCCACCTGGCTCAGACTTAACTGGTGCCTGGACCGACATACAGCCACACCTACAGATTGTTCTGAGCTTCTTCCCAACTCCTCTGACCACAGAAAAACCAACTGACCTCCCCAAAGAAATGCCCACAACACCTGCCATGCTGTCAGCATGCCACAAATAGCAGCTGGATAAAACCACTGGGCTTGACTGCTGGATATTTTCAGCTGACTATTATACACAGGAATTTTTATTTATTAAGTGGCTTCAATACATGACTTTCTGCCATCATAAAAAGCCCACAGATGTGTCTTTTCAGATATTAGCAGTTTATTAATTGTGTTTTGGTTTATTATTGCATTGGAGCTGGAGAGTATGGCACTGTCTGTTCTGGAAAGCAGAATATTCCAAGGGGAATATGCAGAAGAAAGTCTGCTCCTCAGAGCTCACCTCACCCAAGTAAGCTTCTTGCTTTTCCTTTATTTTGCCCCTCACTTGGCCTCAATTCCTCTTCTATTTGTCAAGCTATGACATGTCATAGCTTTGCCAACTGCAAGGCAACTACTAATACAATAAAACCTGATTGCACAAATTTCCTTGGTGGTAAAAATTAATCATTTCTCCCATTAGCCAAACTTTCCCTGTCAAACAGAGTGTTGGGACCGCCAGAATTCCAGCGAAACCCACTAAGGTTCTCCCAGCTGCTAGAAACCCACTGMTCCTAATTCAAAACTTCAAATGAAAAAAAAAAAAAAATAGGGAATTTCTTCAAGGATCACCTGCTTTGATTTCTCCTTCTGCGTTGAAGGGAAATAAAYGAATAGAAACACGCACACACAAAAAGAAATACCCCAAACAAACACCAGCCCCCTAAACCACAAGTGTCTCGTATTAAAGCGGTACGAAGGAACTCCCCATCGTCGACAAGTCCCCACTTTTCTGGAAAAATCTCCTTAGTTTCGAGAGGAAGATGAATAATTCAGGAGCTGAAGCGCCGGCCCGGGGGGACCCACCAGCACCGAAACTTTCCCGGTGCGGCGGGCGCGGGGCAGGCGGCGAGTAAAGCCCCCACACAGGCGAGGATGGGGGAGGGAGGGTTGGAAATTAAAAATTCATCCCAAAACGCCAGCATTGAGAGGCTCCGAGCCGCGAAGTTCCGCGTCCAAGCGCCGCCGCCCCCGTCTCCAGCCGCAGAGCCGCCGCGTCCCCTCGGGGCACCGCGGGCACCCCGCGCCCTGTCCCCACACGCTCACCCCGAGGGATGGGGCAGCACTTGAGGGGAACACGGCACCCTCAGGGCTCTGCCGACACACACATACCCCCCGAAGGGCCGGGAGAGGCGGGAGGGAGCCTTACTTTTCTGGCTGGAGTATCCCGGGTAATATCCATAGTAGCCGGTGATGCGCAGGATCCTGTCCTCGATGGTGGCCACGCCGTTGGGTGCTGCCTTCCCATCCATAGAGGGAAGGAGCCGCGCGGGGCGGCCGGGCGGGACGGAGAGCGCAGCCGGCAGGGCAGGAGCAGCAGCGGCAGGAGGAGGAGGAGGAGGAGGAGGAGGAAGGAGAAGAGAATGAGGAGGAGGAGGAGGAGAAGGAGAAGGAGGAGGAGGAGCGCGGCCGCCGCAGCTCGCGGTGCCGGCGGGGCGCTCGCTCTGCCTCCGCCGCCTGGTGCAGGACGGGCTCCGCAGCGCGGCCCCCGCCCTCTGGGCACGGCAAGGGAGGAAGGAAGGAAGGCAGGAGCGGCGGCTCCGGGCCGCAGGTGGAGCTCAGGTTCGGATCCTGCCTCCGGCACTCTCCTCTCTCGGCTCGGCCGCTGTGTGTGAGTAAAGGAGCGCCGCTGTCACGATGTCCCCTCTCGAAACCTCTGAGGGCTCCGGAGCCGGGAGCGGTTACCCCGCCATGGGCACGCACCGGGAGTTGGGGTTTGCTGTGGGAATCGGATCCTGAACCGCAGAGCTTCAGGTCCAGGTCCTCATAGCTGTCCTTCCCAGGGCTGAACACAGGTGCGAGAGGAAGGGGACAATCCTTTCATTCGGACTCTGAGGGGACAAGGTTTCACCACTCCGTGCTGTCCATAGAATGGTTGGGGTTTGGGAAGAACCTCAAAGCTCATCCAATTCCAACCCCCTCCCACAGGCAGGGACACTTTCCACTATCCCTGGGTGGATATCCCTCCAAGGGATCCATCCAACCTGGCCTTGGGCACTTCCAGGGATCTTCTCTGRGCAMMCTGTGCCAGGGCCTCMCCACCTTCRYAGTTAAGAATTTCTTCCCAATRTYCCATCTAACCCTGCTYYCTGGCAGTGTGAAGCCATTCCCCTTTGTTCTGTCACTCCAGGCCCTTATCCAAAGTCCCTGCCAGGCTCTCTTTCAGTCCCTTTTGGCCCTGGAAGGGGCTTTGAAGTCTTTCCATCGGCTTCCCCTCCCCAGGCTGAACAGTCCCCGCTCTCCCAGCCTGTCCCCATAGCAGAGGAACTCCAGCCCTTGATCCGTCACTTTTGTCACATCCCTCCAGAGGAGCCCCTGTCTCTCTCTGTCTCTGTCTCTCTCTGTCTCTCTCTGTGTCACTTGGAAACTCTGCCTCAGTGGTGGCAGCTCTGCCATCCCACACTGTGGGACAGTTGAGGGGAGGAGAAGGAATATCTGCCCTGAGCTACCCAGACAGGCTGTGCACCTGCTCTAACATCTCTTCATACGAGGCCCACAAAATCCTTCCCTGCACTTGAAAAAAAAAGAGGTGACAAATTCACCGTTTGGCTTTGTTACTCATTCTAGAAGCTAATTCTGTCTCTGGCAACAATTAGGCTTTGAATTACTTGACTTTTCGTGCTGCTGGTCCTTGCCATGCTTCTCTCTGCTAGAGTAAAAGGACCATTAGCAATGAACCTTTTTTCCTTTAAAATGTATTTCTATCCAGTAACCAACTGACTTTTTTTACTTTTTTTTTTTCCTTTTTCTTTTCCTTTTTTTTTCTTTTTTTTCCACTTACTCTTTTATGATCCAGCCATTTTCATTAACTGGTACATGGAGAACCCAGTCAAGACATTCCATATCCTTTGCTTCCTCCTCTGCTCACATTCGTTTTCCTCCGCTCTGTGCTTGGCTAAATAAGCTGATGGCACAAAACTGCCTTTTATGAGCACAAACAAATAATAGATGTATTAAAAATAGCCGTTGCTGTGGCTTTGCTGAGGGAGTCATTAGCTGGTTAGTGTTTGTACAGTGCTTTGAAGATCAAGGTTTTCTGGTGTGTGGATGCAGATATAGAAATGTACTTGCAATATTAAATACCCTTTTGATCTTGATTTCTTGTCTYTTGCCCTGCTGCTGGGTAATACTAAGGGCAGTTACAAATCAGTGATAAATCGACCACCGACCACCAGAGTAAGTCAGGAATTCAAGGCACAGCTCATTTCACAATTTYCCCATCCCATTTTAAGCTAGCTATGAAACAAGACCAGTGACTTTTCATGTTTTTCAATGTATACATTCTTTTTTTGTATTTGTCCAACAGAAGCACAGCCCCCTGCATGGCAAATTTACACCAATTAACATCAGACATTTGCTTTTACTTCTAATCTGTGGAATGCCATAAGGAGCCCTCAGCCCTCCAGGATCTCCCAGACTGTGGGACAGAAGCAGCTGAGAGCCAGACCAGGTATTAGTTGTATTTCAGAGGTGCTGGGTCAGTAGGAGCTGGTGAGGCTCTAAGCTCTTCTGCAGGGTTAAAATTCCCTGTCCTACTTAAGGAAGCACAGTTGATGCAAAAATCACTTGCCTGGTGTCTTGTGTGGAATCTCTGAACAAACCACAAGTCCCCCCCTTCCCAATTTCACCTCCAGTGGGAGTTGGTGTGATGAGAACATTACCAGCATTGATCTCAGCTTCAAAGTCAGATTTTGGGACTTAAAAGTGTTACTTTGAAGAGAAGGAAAGGAATGGCTGGTTCATTTGAAGGTTAAAATGACGTAGCCAGAAACAACTCTAAGCTTCAAGCTTTCCAAACACCTTAGTTCTGGCTTAATTTTTCATCTCCTCTCTTCCTCTTATCCCTGGGCTTTCAAGGACATGCTGTGCATGTTTAAACATCACCGGATGATAATACAAGCAAARCCATTCTTGAAATTGCTCCTGCCTGTGGTTCCCTTCCAACATCACTCTGTGCAATGGATGCACAGTGATACCTTCTGTCTCTTTGAAAGCTCATAATGAATTGCAGCTCTGTATTGTTTCTGAATTCTTGCTATGCTGACTATTTTTCTTTTCAGAAGGATCAAGCAAATTGCTTCCTCTGCAATCGGGCTTTTTGCAAGTTACAGTTAAAGGTGTGCAGAGGAAACCTGGCTGAGCAAGATGTATTAACTACATTTATTATCAAGAAAAAGACACACGGTGAGGGGCACATGGGGACTTGTTTCCTCTCTTTGAGTTAACAGCGCCATCAAAGTCACTATTTGCATAAATATGCTGRAGTGATTTTGCAGAGAGATTTGTGTATTTACCATTCTGTGACTGCAATTTGAGGGTTGATTCAGAAAGGAGCTTTAAAAGCATCCATTTAATCTGCAGCTTATTGTACAAGGTGAATTTCCCCCCATACTCTACAACTGGGTGTCTTTCTCTAGAAAAAGAAGGAGCCTTACTCATTACTGGCCACAGAATTTGGCCACAGTGTTTTCAAAAATACCATACTTAACTCCAGGCCATATGTTTGCAAAAATAACTTCTCAAGTGAGAGAACAATGTAAATGTCTCCTGATTATCTTGCTGATTCTGCAGACAGTCCCAGTGTCTTTTTTGCTGCTCGAAGCTTTCCCAGACAGCCTCAAATAGAAAGGAACAAGAGTCTGGGTGTACTTCACAGCTGCCTTTCAAATCCCACTGGATGGGGCTGCCATGAAACCATGAGTATCTCACATGAGCAGAGCCTTTCCTTATCTGCCTGTTTTCTGACCACATCACCTCTGGTTTGTTCTCTGTSAGGCAAGAGGCATCATTTCCTCCTTTGCAGCTCCTCATTTGTATTGCAAGATACCCTGAAGACCTCGTGTGACAGCTCAGAGCTCCCCATGTTGGACAAACAGCCCAAAGGGTCACAGAATCATGGAATCAGAGAATGGTTTGGGTTGGAAGGGACTTTAAAAATCATCCCATTTCAACCCCCTGCCATGGGCAGGGACACCTTCCACTGTCCCAGAGTGCTCCAAGCCCCATCCAACCTGGCCTTGGGCACTTCCAGGGATCCAGGGGCAGCCACAGCTTCTCTGGGCACCCTGTGCCAGGGCCTCTCCACTCTCACAGGGGACAATTTCTTCCCAATATCCCATCTAACCCTGCCCTGTGACATTGTAAAGCCATTATCCCTGTTCTGTCACTCCAGACCCTTGTCCAAAGTCCTTCTCCAGCTCATTTGGAGCCCCTTTAGGTACTCAAATCCTCAATAGGATCACCCCAGAGCCTGAGGGCTTTGGGATTTAGGGAAAGATGCAGGGGAAGAGTGGCAAAAAATGACTTAAGAGTTGAAGTTGAAGCATCTAAATGATCTAAGAGTTAAAGAAACCACTTAGGGTCCTCTCCCCTGAGAGCCCCGAGCAGATCAACCACAGGCTTTGAGGAACACAACCCAGTTCTGCTCTTTCCCATGCCAGTTCCATGCCTTCCTCCTTCTCTACTCCCTCATTCTCCACATACCTTCCCTAATTCCACCTGCAGTGAGAGAAAGGGGAGATTTTTTCTGGAGCAGAGGCTGCTGCCAGTCCTRCTATCTCATCTCTTTGAGGAGGTTCTGCCCTGGGTTGTTACCAGGATTGAGATATAAAAGAAAAAACAACAGGCAGCTTTGGTCTGTCATGCAGCTTACCTGTGAGCCTGTGAACATGGGAAAAAGGGAAAAAAGGACTCACACAGAGATGACTGTTTAATGCCAAGTGAGACTGTAAAGTGAGAAATTAATTACAAGTTGATCATTCCAAATTAGCTGTTTCATCCTTCCAATACACTGTTTTTTTAAAAAAAAGAATGTGTCATTTTGGCTTGGATTGTACCCTACCAAGAACCTTTAAAAAGTCATCGCCAAGAGGACTTCTCTCTGTCATTTAGACAAAATTATTTTGTGTGTTGTGAGCCCAGTTCTCCTTTCAGACAAGTCATGCTGGTGTAAAAGCAGCACAAACATGAACAAGCTGGACCCATAGATAGGGAAAAGAAAATCTGTAGTGTTTGAAGTTCCCTTAATTGTCCTCTGAAGTGACACCATGAAAGTCACTGGAGCAAAGCCAGTTCTTGCTCAATCTGCCTCATGCACACCAGGAATGAAGGATGGGCTCAAGGTCGAAAGGACTCATTGACAATAACGAAAKTATTTAGTGTAAAGATGCCTCAAGTTGGCAGCTCAGTTTTAAGAGCTTTTCCCCCTTCTGTTTGAACACTGGGGAGATTCCAGCTTGGACCAAAATTCGAAATCCAGTTCCAATTTCAGAGCATCACCAGTTATTAAAAGGATTTGATTTGGCA